TTTGCAATATTTGGTTGGTCTTGTTCATTTATTATTTTTCTATTAAATATTAATTACACAATCTATTTTTCCTTCACAACTTGATCACTCGTGTTTTAAGGTGAGATAACTTTGGCGTTTCTATTAATACTGACAATAATTTTATTAGATATTAATTTATGTTCAGTGAGATACGTAATGGATACAGAAATTGATGAAACGCTGTTCAGAGAAGTTGACTCAAAATTCTCATCAGATGTAAAGAATTGTACATTTTGTCATGTTGTTCTCCTAATAAGTGCTGATGGTGTTGAGGAATCTATTGGTTCAACTAAACTACTTTGCTTGTTACTTTGCATGCCATAACAACTGATTAACTTTTCTCTATTCGTGGTACGTACAGAATTATCTAAAACAAAATCATTTATTAAATAAAACTGTAGATCCAAATAACCTAAGTGTTATAATGAACGGCTTGTAGTTCGTTATGTCTCTCTCCCTTCACAAAGCCCGTAATAAATATATTTGTAATATTGCTATGTATTTATTTATATGAGATATTTGCAGCGCAGATATCAGCGAACTGGTAAGTGACGCATCAACCCTTCAATAGTCGATAGTAAGCACACAACGGGGACCACGCGGAGACGTGATTATTATCGAGAGGAGCGAGAGAGAAAAGGCGCGATCAGAACAATTACGAGTAGCTTCGAACTGGTAACCAGGGCACACCTCGTGAGAAGGACAACCAATACGAGTGTGACACGGAGAATTATAGTGAGACGAGAAGCAAGGCAGCCTTTTCGCACGACTATCGGCAGCAATATCCTAGGACCCAAGCGAAAACTTTAAGACGATTGCCTACTAGTGAGAAGCGGATACACGAGATGAAGCGAGTGCGCTACCGAATCCTAAAGGATTAAGCGAACGATCAGCACTGAAAGTACTGACTCTTCACTTGGTTTTCTCTCTCTTTTACGCTCTCGCTCCTCACGCTCGCTTTATATAACTTTTAGTTTGATCTGCTTACTACTACGTCTAGTGCGTCGGGCACATGTTATCATTTCTTAGTGCTGAGTGTTGACGCTTTGTCGCGCCGACTGTCGTTGGCCTGCGCATGCGACTGAGTAAGCGTGTTAGCTTACAGATTTATATATGGCGCGCCGGTTCGCTTTCTATCGGCGGCGGCTCATAACGTGGCGTAAGCCCGCTTTCAATTCACGCACGTAGCGCGTGCGCTATACTCGTTTCTCTCGGATGCATGTCTACGAGTGTTTGTGTTATACTGGCCTACGTGACGCAGGCGCGTCGCCTGATTTGCGTTTTATCATTCTGAATTTTATATTAACTTCCCTCTTGCCAATATAAACTGTTATTTACCTGAAATTCGTGCCGAGTTATTAACCTAACCACACCCGCTCTTCTTATAACAGTCGGTCACTTTATTGATTCGTTCCCTGTTCCCTCTCAGTTATTGACTGGTTGATTTTCGCATAGCTCACGATACTCTCCGCGGACTGATTTCTCTCTCTTGACGAAGGAGGCAACCTGAAGCAGCCGGACCCTGGACGCGCCTATGCACCAACATAGATTTGTACAGTATAGCGACAACGCCCGCTACATATAATTTTCATCCAGGAATAATAACTCATTTTTGTTTCGGCTTCTGTTCGACACATGTCGAGCAAAAGTCCCGTTACAGTGTACATGTTGATACAGAATTCCTATTTGATAACACTTTGGAGGTCTAAACAACTCTTTAGTTTAAGATTGGTGATGTATTTGTAATAGTTTTAGTTAAATCACCGGAATTTTTCGTAAGTTCTTCCAACTCTTTCAATAGTTGTTTAATTAATTTATCTTTGTCTACAATCATCAGAATTTTTCTTATTAATACTTTGTTCTTAATAACCATGTTGATTGTTTAACATTTAATCATTAGGTGCAATCATTTACGAGTGTGTTTACGTATGTGTGTATGTGAGTGATTTTTGCGTGTAAATGCAATTATTTACGCGCATGTGTATAGGTTTGTTTAATTATATTCGCTTTTAAATGTAAATGTGTCTGTCCTGAACCTAATTTGAAATTTGATTGCAAATCCTTTATAAATTTATAAGTACCTGTATGTATGTGCGAGAGTATGCGTGCGTGTCTGATTAAACCCGTAGGTCGTGTATTTATGTGAATGAGTAAATGATAAATTTATTACTATTCTATGTCAAAAAATAGATTACCTTCTTTCAATAATTTTGAATTTTCATAGTCTCACCAGTTTTCATTATACTGATTATAGTCCTATTTTTCCAAAAGTAGACTCATCAGACCACCAAATTCTATCCATAATACCATTATTGGTTTTATTTTGCTTTAATTTGCTTTAATTTTTATATTATATAGCGTTCATAATAATTCACTAAGGTAATAGGCATATAACAAATAAGTTTGTAGGTGCTTTGGAGTAAAGTTTTTGTTTTTTTGTATTTGACACAGTAATTGTTGGGGACGGTCACTACCGAAACGTTCAATGCTGCTGAGGGACAATTGAGAACGTCGACGATCCGCCAGGATGAAATATATATCATACCCTGCGTCATCTTTGATCGCTAATAACTTTAGCTTCAATAAAAATTAATACGTTTTAATTTCTTGTGCAAATTTGTCAACAGAATTGATTAGTAATAATACTTTTGAAAAAATATTGCCCATTTCGATAATAAATGTTATATTTGATTTTATTTACTTATTATATAACTATTTTATTATTCAGTAAATAATTATGATGTATTTTTTTAATTACAATACTATTTTGTCCACTTATTTTGAAAAATTCCGTTTCGTACCGATTGATAGTTTCCGAGATATAGCATTTAAAAAAAAAAAGAAAAACTTTTTTTTAATTATCCATAATTTGATAATTAAATAATATTTTGATGTCTTATTTGGCTCAAGATATGATCTTAATTTAAACAATCAATGTGCCAAATATTAAAAAAATTCAAAACTTTACTTTAAAGCACTGACGAACTAATTTATTTCGTGGCACACTTACCGAGCTCCTGGACGCGCTGGTAGTGATATGGATGTTGGCCATCATCCTTCATGATCCTTTGCGTAGTGGTGTACGAGCATCTCATATTGAAATTGACTCATATATCACACGTGACGTTGCGCAAGCTATTGGTTGAATCTTCGGCAAACGCTTGCATAACAGGATTATGAAGGGCGTCGCGCAGATCTGTTGTGCTATCACCGTCCAGATTTCGCACGGCCATACTGCTGGTATATCGTAGCCTACCACGCTCCGTTACCACGATGGTGTTGCCAGTAAGCATATTCTCGCGCAAGCTCTTGAAACGTCGACGGTACTCCCGTGCTGCTCATTCTCGGTTACTTTCTGCCCACCTGAGGTACAATACAATATCAGTGAACTCGGCTGACGTATATGTTATATATAATTCAACTAGTAAAAACGACCATCGTGAGCTACAATATTAATATCAACTACAGTTATAAACATTTGAATAACGAGAGCGCTGAACTCCACATGCTTTTGAATTCGGATAAACATTATGCAATTGATTTTTTTAACGTTTACAAGATAAAATTTTGTAGACAATTTATTACTTGTTTCTAATAAACATTTAAATATCTGTATTGCAACATTTTGAATATTTTATAATAATTCATAGTAATAATACGATGATCAGTTTTTAACCTGAAAAGATATAAAAAAAACACAAATAGTAGTTAAATTCATTCCGTGTCTTTATCAATTTACAAGCAAACTAATGATTTTAGAATAGTGCTGATTTTTTTGGCAGATAATTTAATACGCTATAACTTTTATTTGAAGCTTTTACCACTTAAATTATTTTAAAAATCAGGCGTAAATATAGCAGACACAGATAAGCAGAGACCTAATGTATTACGACAAATCCTCGATGTTCGATCGTCTTTCTCTCTCTTCTTTCTATTATTTATCCGAAGAAATAGTATCAAAATTAAGTCCATACCTTGGAGTTCATTTATTCTTTCCCTACGAGATCAGACACTCCCAAACCCCCTTCCTTTTCAATTAACTGTCGTTGAAAAACGTCAATCTCAAGCTCTTTCGAACTGCAAGAATTCGAAATTAGTTATTGTTATCAGATTATAAAACGCGACGCTTCTATTTACTGAGAAAACTTGCGGTTTGAATTTAAATGTACGGATTTTGTGGAACGAACGTAGAACAAAAACAAATACGCTGCCAACTGCATTGATGGATTGCTTCCTTGTTGGTTTATGTAACTCGTTTATGAATGGTATCATTTAATTTTCTTCTACATTCAATAAACTTGTTAATTTAAATGTAACAGTCTTGTGAGTAAAAAGCCATACTTGTGTTACAATGATAATCGTGCGTACCAAATCTGAGCAGACTATCTGCAAAATCGTAAAAAACTATGAGTTAACGCACATACAGAAAACTCATGAATAAAAGATAACCAAAAAAAATGGTTTTGTAAACTTCTCTTTAATTCCAAGAAAGTAAATAAATAAAAGCAAGACTTTTTATTACATGCAGCAAGTTGAAATACGTCAGAATAAAAAAAAATTATGCAGCTAACTACATGTCTTTCATCAATGCGATTAAGAACTGCTTCCTGCTCGCCGCGAGGCTCTACCTAGTAACGGCCGTCGTTCATTAGCTGATCTTATGCCAATTATCTCATTACCTATTCAACTTAAAAATTTTTTTTCAATTGCATCTTATATAACTTTTTAAGACAAATCCAGTGATATAATTTTCATTCAATGTTTCTGAATCAGATTGTATAATAAAGTTTATGTATCACTTAAACAGTTGAAAACTTGATGTAACTGAATATTTGTTTTATAACCAAATAGATCCTAATTTTATGATGCATTACAAATTAAACTATAATATTATATATAATTAACTTTTTATAAACAACACGGGTCACATGTGTATAAGCTTGAAAATACCCAATCTAAATATTATATTGTTACTCTAGGAATGGAGGGAGCTGAAATAAATAAATCCTTGCTAGCATTAAAAGAATGCATTAGAGCACTTGGCCGAAAAGGTACCCACTTACCATTTAGAGCCAGTAAATTAACTCAAGTTTTAAGAGATAGTTTTATTGGAGAGAAGTCGAAAACATGCATGGTAATGTATAACATACTTTATATTTTTTTTAAAAGTTTAATTTAGCAGAGGATTAAGAATGTTGTCTTAGAATTTTCTTTAAAGATATTAAAAGAATAAAGTGATTAATTGTTTCGGAAAAAATAATAGTAAGGAAATCAAAGATTCTTCTCCAATTGACTCGTCAAATAATATTTTTATTAATCTTAATTACGTGAGATTGAATAGATCCGAGCTATTCTATAATCGCTTGCTATCTGCGAGAAATAGAGTGAGTATGCACACGAAAATCGAGAAAAGAGACAATGATTGTTCGATTGTAAAAAGCTGAAAATATCAATGAAACAAAGGCAAAATAAACATACAATCATGGAAATAGTTAAATGAAAAACAAAAATTTTTTTATAAAATATTATTTGAGAATGCAGATATTCCTTTTTTCGTGCTGTCCAACAACCACAATTCGAACAAAGAGACGTTGAAAAAATATTATTATGAGAATGTCGATGAATATCGGAAAAATTAAGAGAGAGATAAATAAATAAAAAAAAAATGTAACCAAATACTACCGGTTGTTACTAACAAGGAAAGGTACCCAACCCGAACTCACCGATTTTGATGATTTTGATACATATTGTAGAACATATGTATCAAATTATCCCATTAATCTTGGTCCAGGTACTGTTTCTATAGGTTTTTGAGGTTGCTGAATTCGAATCTGGGGTACGTTTGACCTGGTCGGCTCAGAGTCAAGGTTAGGTCAAGGTAAAGTCCAAAAAATTGCATTGAATGAACCCGAATTTAATTTATAACCCCAGTTTATCTGACCAATAACCCCCTAATATTTCTATGGCAATGTTAGCAACCACCTAATAACCCTCTAATAACCCGCCCTAATATAAACTATTCTATAAACATCCTAATAACCCAATGGCAATCCTATCAACCTCCAATAATACAATGGCAGTGCCATCAACCCCTAATAACCTCCTAATAATCGCATTAATAAGAACTATGCTATGAACCCCCTAATAGCGCGATGGCAATCCTATCAACCCCTTAATAGTGCAAAGGCAAACGGTACTCCTTTCGATCAAGCGGGATTTTCACAACAGGATAGTTGTGAGTCCGGTTTCTGGTGATCATACGCACTTCTTTTTAACAGGCATTTTCAGGATAGTTGAGAATTCTGCTTTGGTCCACCTTACGCGCATCTTTCCAACAGTCCTTTTCAGAATAGTTGAAAGGTTCGGCGTACTTCTTGCGATCGAGCGGCATTTTCTCGATAGTCCCTTTCAGGATAGTTGAGAATTCTGCTTTGGTCCACCTTACGCGCATCTTTTCAACAGTCCTTTTCAAGATAGTTGAAAGATTCGGCGTACTTCTTGCGATCGAGCGGCATTTTCTCGATAGTCCCTTTCAGGATAGTTGAGAATCCCAGTTGAAGTTTCTAGTAATCTTCATCGTCCTCGTGTTCCTGAGATCGATTTTATAATGTCTCCCCGGAGTTGCATGAACGATCCTAACAAGTTCTGCAACGTATGTGGACTTTATGCTACTAAAAACCAAAGGAGAAACATTACGCCTTCAATCGAAACTGCTTACAAAAACTATTTCGGCTATTTTATCGTGAATGTAGATAAATCTTGGGTGCCAAACACAATTTGTGTAAGTTGCCATACAATATTAAGTCGTTGGAATAAAGACGACTCTTCGCAAAAATTGCCTTTCAGTTCTCCGATGATCTGGCGTGAGCCACGTGACCATAATGACTGTTACTTTTGTTCTATTGATCTGAAAGATTTCAATAATAAGAATAAATCTGCAATTTTGTATCCTAATGTCTCATCTGTTAATAAAGCAGTTTTACGGGGGACTCTTGTCTGTGAGAAATCATTACCCCTAAAGAAATTAGAATGTTTACCTACTACTTCCAGAAGCCCAGACGAAATATATGATATCGAGGTGGACGACGAAGATCCGCAGTCAGATGATAGTGCACAATTCGATGCAACCGAAAGTTCTCAATTGTTTACACAAGCTCTTCTAAATAATTTGGTTAAAGATTTGGACCTGCCAAAAAATAAATCAGAATTGTTAGGTTCTAGGTTGAAAGAAATGAATCTGTTTGCGCCAAAAACAACTTTTTCTTCGTACAGAAACAGAGAGCAAGAATATATCAGATATTTCGCAGAGAAAGATGGATTGACTTACTGTCATGACGTGACTGGTTTAATGACAAAATTAGGCTTGATATACGTCGCTACTGAATGGCGTCTCTTCATCGATTCTTTTAAAAGAAGTTTGAAGGCTGTCCTCCTTCACAATGGAAATTAATATGCTTCGATTCCACTCGCCCATTCAGTGTATCTAAAAGAATCTTACGAGAATATGCAGATAGTTCTTGAGAAAATTAAATATGAAGATTATAAATGGCTCATATGTGGTGATTTGAAAGTAATAACTATACTTCTTGGACAGCAGTCGGGGTATACCAAATACCCATGTTACATTTGTTTGTGGGATAGTAGAGCTACTACACGTCATTGGGAAGAATCTAAGTGGCCACTTCGCACGTCTCTGAAGCCAGGATCACACAATGTTCTCAAAAAACCCTTGTGTGATCCAAAAAAAATACTTTTACCTCCCCTCCACATAAAATTAGGATTAATTAAGCAATTCATCAAAGCCCTTGATCAGAGTGGAAAATGCTTCCACTACTTATTGGATAAATTCCCAGGATTATCTAATGCAAAAATAAAGGAAGGTATTTTCACAGGTCCGGATATCTTTTGAAATCGGCTGATTTTCAACAAACGATGACAAGAAAAGAGAAGGCTGCATGGGTGAATTTTGCAGCGATTGTAGAAGGATTTTCGGGAAATAGAAAAGTAGAAAATTATCTCGTAGTCGTTCAAAATATGCTTACGAGTTTCAAAGAGTTGGGTTGTAACATGAGTTTAAAAGTACACTTCCTGAATTCTCATTTAGATTCTTTTCCTGAGAATCTTGGAACCCCAAGTGAGGAGCAAGGAGGAAGATTCTACCAAGACATCCAAGAGATGGAAAGAAGGTATCCAGGTAGATGGAATGTTAATATGTTAGGTAACTACTGCTGGGCTCTTAAACATGAAGATGATGGTCTACAGCATAAGAGAAAGTGAGCAACCAGAAGCCTAGACTAAAAAAGGAAACGATTTCACAATTAGAAAATTGATAACATTGAAGAATATGACATAATGTGGTTAATAGCATTGCTATTGGGTAATTAGGGGGTTGCTAGTATTCTCATTGCATTATTAGGGGCTTATTAGCTTAATTCATATTAGAGGGTTATTAGGGGGGAAGTATATAGGGGGGGGGGCTATTAGAGGGTTGATAGGATTGCCATTGAGTCATTAGGGGTATTTTAGCATTGCCATTACGCTATTAAGGGGTTCATAGAACCGTTCATATTAGGGAGGTTATTAGGGGGTTACTAGGGGGGAGATAGCACTGTCATTGCGTAATCAGGAGGTTATTAGCATAGTTCTTATTAGGGGGTTATTAGGGGGGTGAGTTATTAAGGGGTTGATAGGATTACCATTGGGTTCATGGCATAGTTCATATTAGGGGGTTATTAAAGGTTTATTAGGGGGTTGCTAACATTGCCATAGAAATATTAGGGGGTTATTGGTCAGATAAACCTTAAATTCGGGTTCATTGAATGTATTTTTTGGATTTTACCTTGACCTAACCTTGACTTTGAGTTGACCTGGTCAAACACCGTAGATTCGAATTCAGCTACCTCAAAATCCTATAGAAACAGTACCTGGACCAACATTAATGGGATAATCTTGATTTGACCTTGATTTAACTTTGACCCCTGAGCTAATCGGGTTAAATGAATCGTGGATTGGGATTCAACAACCCCAAAAACATAAATGTAATGGTATTACCTTTTGCACTTTATTCACATATGACTTTTTCGTGGGGCTATCATATTTGTATTGTTTGTACTGTTGTTATGAAATCGCTAAAGTGGTGAACTTCATTCGATGATATCTCCGCGAAAAAAAAGATTTGTTAAATTTGAAAAATGCGTTGGAAAGGGCAGAAGCAATACTTTCAGATGGTCTTGTGAGTTTTCAGTAAAAAAAATTTTTTTGCGGTGTAATATAGCTTCTAAAATAGCATAAATACGTGTTTTTCGCACGTTTAGGTTAGAATATCTCGAAAATATGACGTGATAGAGCATTTTTGATGCCAGGTTCGTCTTCAGCGCCTCAAAAACCTTCGGAATATTTTGCTCATGTTCGTGCGATATAAATCATGTTGACCTGTGTTATCTAAGATTTGTAAATTATAAAGTTGTTATTATTAAGTATAAAATTAACGCTTCTGTTCTATATACAACTTATTGTTTAAATAAATTATTAATTGTTTATTTATTAATAACAGTTATTATTCAACTGTTATTAATGAAACCAATTCTTTCTCATGTTCATTTCTTATTCATTTTACATTTGGACTATTTACATTTTTCTAATAATTCAAATTTTTAGTGTAATGAATAAATTAACTTTGCATAGTAAAATTCATTATTATTTAATAATTAAACGCAATTCGTATGACTATACGAGGTGTGCTCAAAAAGTAAGGTGACTTTGTATATTTAAGAAAAAATATTTATTTATTTATCAATATTTATGTTGTCCCCTTCAAAGTAATCCCCCTCAGATACAATACACTTATGCCAACGGCTTTTCCAATCCTCAAAGCACTTCTCATACTATAAGCACTTTTTGGTATAGCCTTGAGCTCTTCCAGCGATGCAGTCTTTATCTCTTCAATCGTTGCAAATCTTCGTCCTTTCATAGGTCTCTTTAGTTTTGGAAACAAGAAAAGTCACATGGGGCCAAATCCGGTTAATATGGTGGCTGAGGCATGATTGTGGTGTTGTTTTTGGCCAAAAAATCTCTCACAAGCAAAGATGAGTGAGCAGGGGCATTATCGTGATGCAAGAGCCATGAATTATTTTT